CCCTAGTGGTATGCTAGTGTGTGTCACTGATTATTTGATTTTGAGTTTTGGTGCCGGAGAAGCTTTCTTAGATGACAATAAATTTATTTTATTTTATTTTTTTTTTTTACTTTATAATTGGCAATTCGTCAAAATATTTTTTTATTTTAACTTTTCTTTTTAAAGAATCATATGCCGAATATTTATTTATTATCGAAGGTGGTGCTGTGCTCAATGTTCGATTGTAGTTTATGTTAATAGTTCTTTCTATTAATCTAATTATATCTTTGATTTTTCTTCTTTTCTTAATTGAAAGTATAAATGCTATCGTTTTATTTCTTGATGGTGATATACCATTTGATTTTGGGCTATAAATAGAAACTAATGAGTGTCCTATATATTCCTTTACTAAATAATCTTTTAATCTGTTGCTCGTGTACTGTCTGCCATTATCAGTATCAGATGTGAGGCATTTAGGTTTACCATGTAATTTTTTCCAATCGTCTAATCGCGCTAATATTTTTTTTGAATCGATCTTAAAATCAAAATATAGTCGTTTATATCTTAAAAATATATCTGTTATAGTCAAGATATATCCTGGCTCTTTTTACCATGAATGAACAAAATTTTCTAAATTAAAGGGACAAAAAATATTACTACTTATCCTTTCAAAAGGTTTTGTTCCTCTAATTGATATTTTTCCCAATTTTTTTCTCTAAGATAATTTAAACTTCTCACAAATTTCACACTCATTAACTACTTTAACAATTTCTCTAAAAGGATTTTTCATTCCGCGGGTGGTTTTTATATTATTTTAAAGAACTGTAACACTTCTATGTCCAGAATACTCATGAAATTTTTACATTTATCTTTTATTTTTTTTCTGTTTTTACCATCCACTAAGTATTTTTCATTATTGAAGTAGCTTGATGATTTTAATATAACCGTTGTTATCTTTCTCGTTATTTATAAGGTAGCACCCAGATAAATTATCTGCCACAATGTTGTCTTTTCCATCAACATGTAATATGTTATAATCAAATTTATTCATGTTTAACATCCATATTTTAATTCTTGATGTTTCGTTTTTAGATCCTAATACGCGATTTTTACTGTCCGTTTTAATTTCAGCATACGAACCTTGAATTACTTTTTTGAAATGTATCATTGAGGAAACAATGCTTAAATACTCTATTTCCATAATTGTGTAATTAATTTCTGATTGACTAAGCTTTTTGCTAAAATATCCTATTATTCTATCTTCTTGATATAATACACCACACATTCCCACTTCACTAGCATCACAATTAAGTGTAAACTTTTGTTTAAAATTCGGAAAGCTTAACTTGTGATTCTGTCAAATAAAATCTTTGATGTTTTCAGTAACTGCTTTCATGTCAGTGTTAAGACTTTGTTTTTAATTTTATTCTTTAATAGATTGCTAATCTTCGATATTTTTACTGACAAATTAAGAATGAACTTTCTATACCAATTTAATCCCATTAATTTTTGCATATTTTTCAATGTTCTTATTTTTTATAAAATATTTGGTTTTCTAAGTATACAATTCTCAGATAGATTCCTTCTTTATTAATTCTATATCCCAAAATTTCTGTTTCAGTTTGAAATAAATTTGTTTTCTCAAAATTAATTTTTACCTGTCTTTCAGAGTCTTTTTAATACCTTCAAAATGAGCTTTGGATGCTCTTCTTTTGACTTCAAATACAATACTATGTCGTCTATGTAAACAATTTTCAATACCATCTAAAATATCACTTATACACCGTTGAAGTATTTTAGGACCTGGAGTCATCCCAAAAGGTACTCTGTTGTACTGCCACTGCTTTCAAAGTAAGAAAAATGATGTATATTTTTTACAATCGCCGTCTAACAATATTTGGTTAAAACCGTTTCGTAGATCTATTTGAGTAAAATACTTATTTAATCCCATCACTTTCAATGAATCCAATATGTGGAATTCTCCATACCACCATCTCTAATATGTTTATTGATTTCTTTATAATCGACTACTAGTCTTAATTCCGATTTATTCTTTTTTGTTAATAAAAATGCAGGGCTTATAATCGAAGAATTACTCTTCTCTACTATACCTTCTTGTACTAATCTTGTTATTTCTTTATTTGCCATTTCTAGATATTTAAATAGAACGCTGTATACTTTAAACTTGAAGCTTAATAGTATAGATTTTAGTTCAAATTTAACATCTTTTATGTTGGTAGCTTTTCATTTTCTACTAAATAATACTTAAAATCATTTATTTGTTCTTCGTTTAAATTAATTCCGCAAATTCTTCCTGAAATTTTATCTTCTAAAACTTCATCATAAGATTTTTCTTTTCCTTTTAAGAAGTAAAATTAATTTTCTAGTTTCAACAATCCTTTTTTATAATAAAGTACCGCATCGTGGACAATTGAAAATTCATTTTCTAACAGAAATTAAATTGGAGTGCTTTCTAAAATATAAAATTCTATTTTATAATTTTTATCATTTCCTAAATAATTTCAACAAGCGCTTTTTTATCACACTTTCTTTTGTATCCATCTCAAAATGTCGTTGTAATTGGCTTACATTCTTCTTGATTTGACTTAAATTCTTCAGCAATGTTCTTATTAATGTAGTTTCTGAAAGAGCCCGAATCTATTATTAGTTCGATATTTGTATCTTTTAATTTTCCTTCTAAACTAAGGTTTAGAATGTCTTCTCTTTTTTCTTCAGCAATTACTATGTTATTATAATTTAAATTATTAATTTTAGTGTGTTTATTTTTTGATGAAGGTTTGTTCTCTTCTCAAGAAAACAATCTTTTGTAGAGTGAGAATGTGACCTATGATGGTGCATCATTTACTATTCAAGTTGGGTGGATTAAAGCAATTATTGGTTGATTTAACTTTCTCTTTTACGTCTAAACTACAAACTTGTGAAATCATACTAATATTACTCTCTCTAGATAAGAATAAATTTCCTTTATTTATTTGTTGTGCGGGTTTTGTTTGTACAATTCCATGTAGGTGTAATTTCCCAAACCTCTTAAAAAACATTTTTTTACTTTTTTGTCAGCCTTTGATTTACTTAATTTAAAGACAATACTAATCATTTCTA